TTTTCTGGAAAGTTGAGATAATTTTCTAACACTTTCATGTGGAAGTCTGATTCAAATTCTGATGTTATCAATGATGTTTTTATTCAAACAAGAAGATAAGGGTTATCACCAAGTCAAGATGTGGTTACTCAATCAACAATTAGTCATCAAATCCATAGTTTCAAATTTTGACCTATAAAAAGAGGCATTTGTCATGCATTTAAGCATCTTGTTTTCAGATTAAGATCATACTTTTGCTTTCTTTCTTTGTATTTTTATAATGCTTAAGTTTTGTTTTCATTAATATAATCCAATTTATAATCCAATTGGAACCTCTATTGTATGTGATTTCTAGTTGAATAATAAGAGTTTATATTATACTTGTTTGAAATATCATTAGTGGATCTTTTAACCTTGACATTTGTTGTTATTATTGTTTTATCCTCATATTAATCTTTCATTTCAAAGTTCTCATCAACTTCTTTTTCTTTATTAGTACTACTACTACTACTACTATTATTAGTATTAGTATTAATATTAATATTACTATTATTATTACTACTACTGTTACTTTACTATTATTATTGTTGTTGTTGTATTATTATTGTTTATAATTTATATAATTAACTTTCTTGTAGTTCAACCCTGATCTTGCCAGGTTATTTATTACTTTGACTCTCCTGCACTTGAAAAAATACATCAAATTTTTTATCGTATCACCAGCCGGCCCGAGGTGTGTTTGCTAAAGGTGTGTTTGACAAAACACACCCTTATGCCTTCACCATAATTTTTATGTCCATTCTAGTTTGATGTTTGGCCAAACAATCCCCCTTTTGATATCAGAAAATTCTAAAAATATTTTAGGATTTTCATTGATTTTTTTGCGCCCTTGTACTTTATTTTATTTTTTTCTTTGTGCTTGTAGTTTTTTTTTAGCTATATGATCAATCTATAGCCTATTGTTGTTAAATGTAAATATGTCGTGCAATATTTTTTTTTATTTCCATCTAAAAAAAGCAAGTAATAATAAAAGATAAACAAGAAAAAATGAAACAAAATTTCTTCTTTAGTAAATAAGAAAAAATGAAACAAAATTTCTTCTTTAATTTTTTTTTTTGCAAAAATATTAACTGATGTTAGAGTTAGGAGTATCGTATTTTTTGGATTTGTGCAATATTTACCAATGCTAGAGTTTGAAATTTTCATAGGAATTGTTCACTGATACCAGAGTCAGAAACATAAAAAGAAGAATAAAAAAGGAAAAAAGAAGAATAAATTCTTAGCAATTTTAGACAAGACCAACAATGCAACCTGCCTTAGGTAAGACGTTTAAGAGATGATTGCATCTTTCTTTTTGCATAATTAGTCTCGTACCATAGAATCTTTGTTAACCAATTAGAGTTTATAGTGACCATAATACTAGGTGGAAACTCCTTGAATAAGACTTTTTTTTTTTAAAGAACAAGATACTACATATCTGTTTTTTTCTTATTAAGATTAATTTTTAAATAATCACCATAATGTCTGAGTGTGACAAACATTTATTTTAATTTATAATTAAAACATGTGATCCTTCAAGAGAAAACTATTTTAAAAACAAATTGGATCAACAGCACAAGTGCTTGCTATAAGATCCTTTTTTTTCTAATTAAAATGATGATTTTCTTTATTAATTTTCTTTTAATATTTATTTCTGATTTTAAAGGCTAATAGTTTTAGTATGTTATAGTTCTCATTGGTCATTTTATATTTTAAAAAATCAACTATTGGATTTAACCAAATATAATTTTGTTGTTTTAAACATTTATAAGCATGGCAAAGTAATCATGCGGCTTTCATCAATGAAACAATATCAAACAACAAAATAGTTATAGCACAGCATAACATAGTAAACAAGCTAAAATAAAAAATTATATAGAAAGGTTTTTAAATAAATCAATGAAAAAAACAAAGAAGATAAAAATAATGTATTTATGCTATTTAGGTCATGTTTGGGATTGTTTTAATAATAATGGTTCAAAGTATTTTTCATATAAAAATATATAAAAATAAAATTTTATTTTTTAAAAATTATTTTTGATATCAGCATACTAAAACAATTTAAAAAATATATTTTTTTCATTTTAAATTAAAAAAATAAATTTAAAATTTTTAAGAACATGATTTGCACCACGTTTAAAACACATTCTTAGAAAGTCTTTGATTATGATATATTTTACTTTAAAAAATAAAGCATAATTTTTAAATCAAAACAAAGACCCTTGCTTTAAAGCATAGTTTTTAAATCAAAACAAAGACCCTTGCTTTTACTGAAAAATAAAATATTGTTTTTATTTATTTATTATGGACCGACTATTTCTTAATGGAGAATCTCTTTGGCAAATTACCAAATGTTATTTTTCACTCATGTTAGCACATCGAAATAAAATATAATAGTTAGAAAACAATATTGCAATAATGTTAGTATATGTTTTTGTGTTGCTGTACTCTTAAAATGCATCAAGTTTTGCTTTGAAAACAAAAGGGACATTATGTTATAAGTAAGATTGTTTTTGCTCTTGAATTCTAATAGGTATCGTTTGTTTTTAGTAAAAATCAAAACAGTTTATTGTTTTTTTTTAAATTAGTATATATATATTTTTTAAGAAAATTATAATAACCAATTATCAAATATTATACTCATAACAGTAATCTTAACTTACATAAAGCAATAGTAGCAGTGTTTACCGGTGCGATAATTATTATTTTTTAAAATAGTTTTTATTTAAAAATAAATAAAAATAATATTATTTATTTTTAAAAATTTATTTTTAATATTAATATATAAAACTAGGAGTGAACAAAAAAACTGAAAAATTAATTAAATCAAGAAAAATAAAAAAAATTATAAAAAAAATCAAACTATATTTAGAAAACTGGCCGATTTTGCTTTTATTTTATAAGTCTAAAATTAAAAAATTAAATCAAAATTAATAACCGAGCCAAATCAGAAAAAACCAAGTCAATTGGTTCGGTTTTGATTTTTGCTCTAAAATAATTAAACCGAACTGAAATTAATTAGTTTGATCTGATTTCAGTTTTTTATATAAAAATTTAAATTAGTTATTTTTAAGTAAAAATTAAATTAAATAAAAAATAATCACTCCTGCATCAAACAATCTAAAATATATAAAAATTATTTTTAAATAAAAAATTAAATTTTAACCCTATTGTTTTCTAGACCGCACTCCAAGGAAGCGCTAAGGAAGCTCATCTAGAAGGAAAAGCTTAAGGAGAATTATAAACTTCTTAAAAAGCATGTTACTAAAGCATAAGATAACGTGGCCCATAATTTTAAATTCCCAAATTACCACTAGGTTCATGGTGTAACTATAGAGTAGGTATTTCAAATCAAAATGCGGCGGGATGAACGGAATGATTATCGACTGGCCTGTCTGTCTCCCCCTTCTGATGATGTGACCTTTAGTCTCTTTTTATAATTATAGTGTAATGAATATGACATGGATATCCCTTCTCTTTTTATTTCTAACCAAACCTTGTCCCTCAAAGAGCGTGGACATCACGGTCCAATAACAGTAGAGGCATGGCTCTTATTTAAAGACAGTGAAAGGCACAAAGATTCGTTTTCACTCCTTGTTCATCATTGCAGGAGTCCACGGATTTGGTGGTGTTTTGACATTGCAAAACAAGTGCCGGATGAGGAAGGGGAGTAGATTTTATTTTATTTTTTTCATTTACAAAGAGTTTTGATTTTTAAATCTAAATACAACTCCACTTTTTTTTTATTATTATTGTTGGGAAAGTACAGGCTTTTTCTTTAATCTTCAATGATTACAGGGGGGGAATTGTGGTGTTTGAAAATATTAACTGTAACTGTTTTTTAAAATATTTTTTATTTAAAAAATAAGTTAATAATAATTTTTATTTTTAAAAATTATTTTTGAAATCAGTATATTAAAATAATTTTAAAAATTAAAAATATATTAATTTAAAATAAAAAATAATTTAAATTTATTTTAAAATACTTTTAAAACACATTACCTAATGCCGGTTTATATTTTAATTTTTATGCCATAAAAGAGAGTGAATTCAGCCCATCACGTTCTCCTCGCCATACATACATACATACATATATATATATATATACATACATATATATATATATATATATATATAAAATAAAAAAATTGAAATGTAAATAATTAAAACAAGGATAAATATGTGAAAATTGTAAAATGGTGGGGACCATGTTGTAATTCAGCGCATCTAAATTTTGCTTGTAGTTGAACACTAGAATGAGAGGGGAGCTGTGATAGTTCAATATTAATCATAAGTTTAGTTTATAATTTGTAATTCTAAGGTACCTGTAATATAATTTGTAATGAGAGAGAAGTTAGTCTCGTGTTATGAAGGATGGAACCCAGAAAAGCTGGCACATTTGCAATCACAAATAACTCCATGGAGTTGGCCTGAAGGAGAAGAGCTGCGACCTGGCAATGTGCTCCTGTTCAAGATTACAGTAAACTCTTTGCAACGGTTTCTACAAGTGTAGCTCTAAAACGCAAGTTGTAATGATAGACAACTGAGTGTCTTGCTCCGGTTAACCGTTGCTAATCCAAAAGGAGTTTACTATCACAAGGGCACTCACCAATTTAACAGCCATATGTTTGCACCGGAGATAAAAACAGAACATGTCTTCAAACTTGAAGCAAAGATACTAATCATTTTCAAACAATTTCTACAAGTGTAGCTCTAAAACGCAAGTTGCAATGATAGACAACAGTTTTAGAAACTTGAGGACAGAACAATCTTAAACGACAGCAGAATTGCTTGATGACACAATAAAAAAAAAAAAACAAATATACAAGAATGGTTTGCCAAGAACTTCACTGAAACAGGAGCACAAGTCATATAAGCATAAAAGGAAACAAGTTACTAAAATAAATAATTGCTATCAGAACAAGAAAGCAAGAACAGCATAAATCCTGGAAATAAATAATTGCTAACAAGAAAGCAAGAACAGCATAAATCCTGTAACAATCATTATTGAAAGCATGCCTGCCATAATAATCAGCAATCCTCGTTACAACTTCCTACAACCTCGTACCAACGCTTGAAACTTTTGAGGAGAAAAAGTAATGATTTATCCATATTGTACTTACCAGACCATCCATTGCTACAATCTTTTGTAACAGGAAAGATGCTCCATGGAATTGTTCAAACATCATGGATGCAACAAGGAGCTTTTGCAATGCATCAAACCATAAGAACTGGCACTCACTGATCATACCAAGAGACAAGCACATGCCTACTATTCTCTGCAAAATTTACTCATCAACATGCCGATTCTAGCATTCCTCCCCATCCGAACACAGGATAACTCTACAATACCTTGGCATCATTCCTTTTTGTCAAAGCCCAAAAGTTTCAACAAATCCAAATGAAAGCCTTAACATCAAAGAGGATGATAAGAGTGTATGATCTGGACGGATAGGGAAGAAAAGAAAGAAAGAAATAATCGTGACCCCTTAAAGAACAGAAGAACAATATTCACTTTCCACAACACGGAACCTTTCATCCACAAAGGCTGAATCAAGCTACGTAGGGATCTGTTTGACGAACGATTCAGCTGATTTCTCTTATAAACTAAAGAATCCAAACTAAAGACGAGTTGGATTGGACTTCATAAGTCCGCCCCCATCAACTTAAATGCCCAAATTGACATGTTTCAACTGAAACAGCAGGTAAAAGTATCTTCATATCACAGCTACTATAATAAATTCTCTAGTACTATACCAGATTACCTTACCTGAACTTAAAGCTTACAAAACATGCAGAGAATAATAACAGGGAGCGTACCTTTCTGTGATCAAGTATTCCTTCAAAAGGCAGCTCCAGTTCATCACTAACTATTACTGGGATGCACCCACAAACAATAGCATCGAATAATATGGCAGATGACGGTGTATCACCAGCTGGACTCAAGCAAAAAAGGGGCCTATAGCAATTAGAATCTCCTTATTCCAAAATTTTATAATGTCTGCTGCCATTAATAATTCATTCTTGCTTATGAATTAAATCAATTAAAAAATATTTTTTATTATTTAATATCTTTTTAAAAATTATATTTTATTATTTAATATATTTTTAAAATTTATTTTATCCCATTTTTAAAAACAATTATTAAAAGCCTCTTTAGATCCCTTAACCTTAAATTTTATCACTAAACTAACTAGAATTTCTAAGAAATCTTTTGGGGTTGCTTGGTTAACATCATTTTCAAAAAGCAAAAGTTATTTAACTTGTGTGTGGAGTTTTTTTTTTTTTAATTTTCATTTCTTAAAATGTAATAAAATAACTAAATTATCTTTTAAAGTAAAATTTTTTTTACTTAGTATCTAGAAACTTTTTTATGTTTTCATCTTAATTTTTAGTTATAATCAAGTTGATTGAAGAATAATTCATTATTTTTTCATATACAAAATATTATTAAAAATTAAAACTAATTGGTATGTGCCGTGATACGTAGGGTATATATTTGTATCATTTTGGCGATACATGAGAGGATATTTAATGATGAAATGATGGCTTCTAGAAAGACATTTGAATCAACTTAGTAGCCCCTCTATTCTTAGGCAACACATGTGATTTAATGACTTTTGGTTTGACGCTTACAATATTTTTTTTTCTTTTTTTTTTCTTTTTCTTTTTAGATTTTTATACTTGACCCTTCAAATGTTTTAAACATCCTTTCAATTTGTTTTTTTTTTTAGATTTAGTCATTGTTCTTGCATCCTTTCAATTTTTTTTTTTTAGATTTAGTCATTGTTCTTTTTATTATTATTTTATTTAAAATAATTTATAAAATCATATATTTTTAAAAAATTTCATTCCCTTTTAATTTTTTTCATTTGTCAAAGTTGGTCCTTATATTTTTTTTATTGTTATTTGTTTTATTTGATATGATTTTAAAAATTAATTTTTTTTATGATTTCATTATCCTTAAGTTTGATTTTAAAAATTAAATTTTTTTATGATTTCATTATCCTTAAGTTTTATTTTCTTATTAGATTTAATTTTTATTTTTTTATTGCTATTTTTTATTTTGCAAAAAAAAAATAATTTGATTTTTTTCATTTCATCTTTCAATATTAAATTGATTGGAAATTAAATTTCTTAGTTAAACTTGAGTTTAAAATTTCATAGGTTGTAAGTTTATGAGATTAGCTTAGATTTAGAAGATTCACTCGATTTGCTTAAGTTTTCTCTCTTCTTTTTAAGTTTATTTTTTTTGTTAAGTTTTATTCTTTAACATTTATTTAATTGGAGATTGAGTTTTTTTTTTTATATTTTTTTTCTTTTTATAGCATTTTTCACTAATTTTGAAAAATTATAGGGTTATCTTTCATTTTATTTGTCATTCTTGGTTATGCATAACTTATTTTAAAAAGTTTTTTTTTATTAAATTATAGCACGAGATGCTCATTCCATGATATTTTGTTTTGTTTGCTTTCTGGATCATTGTTTTAATGGCGTGTATGGTTTTTTTATTGTCATCATGCAACCTTTCACAATGACATCAGAATTATCTTGGTAAGCTTTTTTTTATGGTGATTTTTTTTTTTTGAGTATGGTGTTGACATTAATTTTTTTATAGTTAATTATTGCCAAAAAAATTTGCATGTTTTATTTGTTGTCAATTTTTTTAATTATATTATTAAATTAACATATCTTGTTGAAACCATTCAAAAAATTAACTCAGATATCATATTTTTCTTTTTTTTTTAAAAAAAAACAATGGTCTCTTAAACTTTTTTTTTTATGTTAAGAAAAATTTAAGATTGCCCCGGCCGTCTAGTAATTTGACTACATGTCATAAAATTCATATTTAAAACTTTTTTTCAAATGTAAGTGATAGAAATAATTACAAAACAAAACTCCAAACTATGATGCATTTCACAACCTGGTCCCAACGCTTGAAATTTTCATCAGACACCACATAGATCTGTCATGCTAAACGTTGACAAACAGCTGGAACCCGCGAGGCAAAATTCTCCTCTTCTTTTGGGTCTGTTCTCACGTAAAACCACTTATAAGTATATTTCATGTGTATGGTTATAATTATTTTTTAAAATATTTTTATTTTTAAAAATTATTTTTAATATTAGAATACTAAAAAAGCTATTAATTTAAGAAAAAAAATAAAAAAAATTAAACTATACAGGCTGACACAAAAAGGATGGTCCCGAGGCGGACATAACATAAATTGTCGACGAGGAAGGCAAGGCGCACGGTTCTTCTATGATTTCGTTTGAGCTCAGCGGCGTGCACGCAACAGTTCCATCATCCAGTAAGAATATGACGATATTATAACATGTAGCCAAATTATTGCAAGGGTATATATAACAAGTGTGCAAAATAAAAACTACATCACTTGTAAACTCCCCAAAGCAGATTATATAGCAAAATCCATGCATATACTACTTGCAGAAGACAGAAAAATACACATAAAACAATGAAAGTACTGTGCAGCGAGAAGCCACAACCCACCGTCTATGAATGCAATAACCATTTAAATTCAATTCAAATTCAATTGTGTTCAGCACCTAAATGGCCTCGTATCAAAAGCCCTACCTCCTAAAATATGGAATCATCTGTATACATAACGTAGCTCAGAAGGATATGAGGTCATCCTTAGAGAATTGCTGCTTCTTTGGGTCTTGCGGACCTTCAGATGCACTCCCTCCCTTCTTACCAAATATCATTTCATCAAGATCATCCATCATATCATCACTGCTCCCTCCGTGGGTTCCACCTTGTGGACCTGCAGGTTTCCTGATCAAGGCATCTTCTTTGGCATGAATGGGTGAATCAGGCTCAACAGCAACAGGAATCAAAGCAGGTTCAGGTACAGCAGGAACCACTGATGGGGTCTTCAACTCTTCATACTTCGAGAGAACTTTCTGGATCTCGTCATTCACATTCAAACCTTCAAAAAGAAGAGCCTCGTTGTCTCCTGCTGTCTCAATGATTCTTTGCACAGTCAGTTGCGACTGATGACACTGCTGGACTAGTGTAGTTGCCAAACCATCCTGCCAATTGAAACAAAGAATTCCATGCCATGATCTCAAAAAAGAACCAAATGGCTAGATATTGTGAAAGACATATCCTCCACTGAATGACGGCTATGTTCTTTTATTTTATCTCATAGCAATCCCATCAATGTTGGGAAGAATTGGCATATTTCCCACTTCAAATCACTGCAAATCATCTTGACCTAATCGTTCTAAGATATTATAGCTACGCATATCTAAAGAAATCACACCCAATGGCAGATCCTCACAGAGAAAAGAGAGGGCAACAGCCTCCCCTAGGATGTTTACATTTTTTTAACAACTATAAACATTGAAAATGAACCTCCTATGAAAATTGAAAATGTAAACTGTTTCTTCGAAATACATTTTAATTCTCCAATTCTCTAGAAAACTAGAAAACATCGAAATATTTGTTTTCCATATTCTCCACTATAAAAATTAAGGGCCTTGTTTGGTTCATCTAGTGTTTTATGGCCATTACTTTTATTATTTTCAATTTACGCCAACCAAGACCCTTATTTTCTATTTTATAAAATTTGAATTCAATAGATATGTTTTCTTAACTTTCCATGGTGAAATCTTTTTAGAATAAATAAGAAAACTAGAGATATAAAAAGAAAAAAGAAAAAATCTTAAAGTATGCTTTTCAAATAATTCAATTCAGTCCCGAAACTCAAATTTTATTTGCAGTTGGATCCTTGGTTTCAAATTTTCATGTTCTTTTCAATACTAAATGTCTCTTTC